ATAAATCTCCTTTTCTGAGTTGGGTTTTTGTTACCTGCATAATACAGAGTTCTAACTGATACAGACCATTAATAAACTCAAAAGACAAATTGGGAAAAATGCTTGTAATGCAAGTTGCAATCATTAAAATTCCTCATGCAGAGGGGCTGGGGTTGTGGCTCAGTGGTAGAATGCTTGTCTAGCATGTGTGAGGCACCGGGTTTGATTCTCAGCACTGCATATAAATAAATAAAATAAAGGTCCATTGACAATTTAAAAAATATATTAAAAAATTCCTTATGCAGTGTTATAAATCAATGTGGAAAAGAAAACAGCCTTTTTTTAAAAAATAAAAGGAAAAAGAAATAACCAATGTGATCCTGCAATCTGTACACGTGGAAAAATGACAATTCATACCCTATTTGAATCAAATGTACGATATGTCAAGATCATTGTACTGTCTTGAACAACTAATAAAAAAATAAATAAAATTAAAAAAAAAAAAGAACCAAAGTTCAGTTGATACAAACTGACCCAGCTTACTGGAGAACATTCTTTGTATGAATGTATTGATTCCGCTACAGTTTTCTAATTGCTATACTATTTCCAACTTGCTAATAAACTGATATACCTGATAAAAAAAAAAGAAATGACCAACAAATAACAAATAGGTGCTCAAGCTCTCTATAAAGAAATATAAATTAGAACAAAGGGAAATCATTCATTTTTTACTTATAAGGCTGGAAAGAATGATAAATACTGATATTACATAGGGTTTAGGACATAGAAACTGACTCACATCCTATTGGAAGAGTGTACATTGACTTTCTATTAAAATATTATATTTTGTAAAATTTTATTTATAAAATTTATAAAATTTTATATTTCATAAAATATTATAAAAGCCTTCTATTATCATTTATATTTGTAGCTTTTGACCAATCAAGTCAATTCTTCTCTTAAGTTTTATGCTATGTAAATACCTAAGAAAGTAAGCAATGATATACACAAATAGCCTGCAATATTGTTTAAAATAATGAAATATGGAAACATTCTAAATATTTATCAATTCAGAATTGGTTAAATAAACTCTTGGTTCATTCATGTAATGAAAATATTTTATGGGCTTCATAAAGGATGAAGAAATTCTACATGTTGCCAATGAAAGATAAGACACATTAAGTGAAAAAAAATAAAGCTGTAATATAATACATTATAATTTTTGTCTCTTTCTCTCTATATACATATATATGTTAAAAATAATTTGAAAGAATATCATTACACTGTTAACAGTGATTAGATGAGGCAAATGGGCTTAGAGGTCAGTGGAGAAAGTCCCAATCCTATCAGCTTTCCACATACACTTTGTATTCACACACACACACACACACACACACACACACACACACACTCACTAGCATCTCCAGGGCCACATCTTGCCCATCAAAAATTAAACTGCAACTTTCTTTTCTCGTCTGACTCAACCTGTTCCCTATTTGATTACACATTTCTAGAGTATTTTAATACCACAATCAAACAGACTAACAGTTGGTTTGCTTTTTATGGTCCACCATGTTGGCAATCCTAAACCATGCTAGTGACAGAATATTCCTTCCAGTAAGTAGTCTGCTCTCAGAGCTCCCTCCCTTGCTATGCCACTCTCCCTACCATAATTGAAATTCAATGTGTCCATGTGCCATTTGTAGGGTTAGGGGCTGCAGGGGATTATATTGTTCCTGCCTTTGAAGAACTGATTATTAGCAGAAGCATCAGACAAGGCCACAGTTCACTAGAAATTAACCAGTCTCTCTGGGGCTCAACTTCCTGCATGTAAGACCACCTCCCTGCCAGCTTCACATCCACCTGCCCTTGGATGGGCACTGTCCTCACCCCCTTTCCTCTTTGGTCTTTTGATATTATTTATTCCATGCCCATTTTTGTGTCTGCATCTCCTGTGTCAGGTCCCATTTCACCCCCTACTTACTTTGCTCCCAACAGTGCCACCTGAAAACTCTTTCTTTCCCACAACTTTGGAAACAAATGTGTGGTGGGGGGAATGAACAGGTAGCTTAGAACTGGCCATTAGAAAAGCCACTAGCTGGTGCAGTCTGCCCCAGGAAGTGGTTTCCCCATAGGCTTCTCTGGAGAAGGGGCTCACTGGGGAAGGCAGAGCCTTAGTCCATCAGCTTTAAAAATAAGCACCCCATGGAATAGAAAGAAAGAAAAAGCCATCCACCCAGCTTAACCTGAGCCTTGTAACAGAGAGGGGAGTGTGTGTGGGGAGAACAAGAGGGAGATCCAATTAATTACCCTTAGAAGCAAAGGTAAAAGTTGAAGATTACGAGACCCATTTACAGGAGGGAATAGACCCATCATTGAGCCCAGAGAATGGGAGGATTGTTTAGGGCCAGAAAAGCGTCTCAATGTTCAGATTCCATTCCTTTTCTGGAGCTCTGGAGAGAGGAAGGTCACAGCTTGGGCTTGGAAGGTACATTTAACAGTGGGTTCAGACTGGGAGGGGACTGTTGTTTTGGGTCCAATTCTGGGCCCACAGCCCGTCCCCTCCCTGAGGGAATGGGAGCCTCAATCCTTTCTGGAAGCTAGTGTGGGCTGGCAAAGGAAGGGGTGCCCCCTGTGAGAGAGGCCCATCCATTACCATCACAACAGCTGATGTCACAGACCCCACAGAGCAGCCAGGGCCCCAAATGCAGGGTAACCCTAACCCCAGCAGCGATTGAAACAGATAGAGGGGGAGCTCTCCCACACAATGCCCGGCCCTCCTCCTCCTCCTCCTCACACTTCCTCAAGAGCTTTTGTCTTCTGGTCCCTTGGGCTTGGAGGCTCTCTCATTCCCCACAAATGCTGCCCATTAAATTCAAAATGAGGCCTCTGGGGAAAGGGTCTGGCACTCTCTTCCTCCCTCCTCTTATCTCCCAGGAACTATTCCCACCCTCATCTGCCTGGTGAGCAGGGAACAAGCCCAGCTGTGAGAAAGGGACAAGCTGGTGACCTCTTGCTTCACATCCTTCCCCTCAGAGCACCTCACAAGGGCTGCTAGTCTCTCTGGATAGGGCCTTGGACCAGAAGTTGTAACAGTTAGTGCTCAGAGGCTTGGAGAATGTTCTGGGCTAAGTCAGGTTCTCCTGGTTTGAGAGTCCAAGCCTATGTACTGGACCCTCTTGCTTGTCACCTCAACCAGTTAAAGCCTCTGTATTCTCAGGAATGCAGAGTCCCCGCCCCCCTCAGTACCTGGTGGGACCTGGGGTTCTGGTGGGCCTCCTGGACAAGGTGGACGGTAGAGCAGCAGGTCTTGGAAATTTGCCAGAGCCACAGAAGTCAGGAAGAGCAGGCAACTGCTCAGAGCCTGACATTTCCAAACAGATTTGGTTGTTATTCACAGCATGTAGGCACAAATCTTAGACATTCATGAAAGCCATTAACATTCTTTCCAGAAACACTCGGTAGATGAAGGCTACTTGTGCAGACATGTGTAACACACACAGGATTTTTGGACCTCTGAGTTGTCCAGAAGGTATAAGTTGTGGCACTAAAGTGAGAGCCAAGAAGGTTCCAGATGGTGTTGAGAGGCAGATTCTACTTGCAGGACTAGCTTTACTAAGCCAGAAAGTTGGTGATCTGATTTGAAAAGACTGTGCCCATTCCTGGTATAGGTGCTTGAGGGGTGTTGTTACCACAATCCTGTGCTGGGTTTGGGGAAAGGAAGCCAAGAGGCAGAGCATCTCTGGACGTGATTGTCCAGTGCTTGGCCATGAAGTATGTTGTGGAATTGGATGGAGGGGAGAAGGGGCCGTAAGCAGTACGTGTGCTGTGGTTCAGAACTGGCTAAGCATCTTGCCCTCCCATGGTTCACTTCCATTTCACAACATCCCTGAAAATTAGGGACTGTCATTTTGCTTTTGCTGATGAGGATTATGATTTAGGGACTTAGCTAATTACTTGTTCAAGGTCACCCAGCTAGTAAGTGGCACTGCAGGAGATGGAAGCACACTTTTCTCAGGCATCTAAGTCCTACTGCAGTAGTCAGGCTTGTTACAGAGGACATTCTTCCCAGCCTCTATGCATGGCTTCCATGCCATCCTGAGTGCTGCCACACTGATATTTCTGGTCTTACTCACCAAAGTTCCAGATGTACCTACAGGTTTTCCACTATCCTCCCAGCACACACCAGGCTCATGCCAGCTTTGTACACTAACGTAGTCTGTGCCGCATAACTCCCATAACTTAACAGAGTCTGAATTAAATTCTTTCAAGGCCCAATTAAATGGCATCCTGCTTTCTGTATGCTATTTTCCTTAATCACTACCCCCCTCCCCCCTTTTTTACATCAGTCTAGGATACCTGTTTCTCCCTGCTGAACTCTCAAATAGGCTTGTTACCTCCCTGGGCTGGCTTTGTTCTGGATAGTTCTATATATATATATATATATATATATTTTTTTTTTGTACTGGAGATTGAACCCAATGGTGCTTAATCACTGATCCCCAACCCTTTTTTATGTTTTATTTAAAGACAGGGTCTTGCTAAGTTGTTTAAAGCCTCACTAAGTTGCTGAGACTGGCTTTGAACTTGTGATCCTCTGCCTCAGTCTCCCAAGCTGGGATTACAGGTGTATGCCACCGTGCCTGGCTACATTATTCTATCTTGACTGGAAGTCCTTCCATGCAGGGTATGGGTTCAAAATGCATTGGCCCCATGTTGCCTAACCCAGGACTCCACATAAATAAGGCATTTCAAATGTTATTAGTCTTGATGACGACAATGATGATGCCAGTGTCAGTTGTATAGATGCAAGAACTTAACCCAGTAGTTAGGGATGTTTCCAAGGCCACAGCACAGCTCCCTGCCTTGTGTGGCAGGAAGGCTTTCTCCTCCCCACCAGGTTCTGCCTGCTCTATTCCTCAGTCTAGCGGAGGCACCGTCTGCCATCCAGTGTCTGTCATGAACAACAGCTACACTGTGCAAAAGGGATGGAAGAACAAAAAACCCATGAGACAACACCATGGCTTTTGAAACAGGTATGTAGGATATCTTGTTTAATAGCAGTTAAAAGAGGAAAATGTACAAGAGGAGTAAACATGCTCTTTCCATAGAGGAGCTTTCCCCTAACCATGCGGCCCATCTGCATCAGTAGCTTTACTAGTAAGTTTTAGAGGAAAAAAGTTCCCTTTAGAGTTAAAAATGGACTTCACAAAAATTTCCCCATAAATGTGTAACTATTTGTGCAAAAAAAAAAAAAAAAGGCCATTTCCAACACATTAGTGAAAAGTAATCGCAACTGCAGGCAAAAGGAAGGAAGGAAGGAAAGAAGTGGGGGAGAGAGCAGGAAGGAAAGAGGCAACTGAAGCAGTCAGGAGAGGAATCCTGGGAGAAGTGGGGCTCAGGTAGGGGAGATTTCTGAAGCCAGCCCCAGGGACTGTGCTTGGATGCCTGAGAAGGAAGATCATGGCCAATGCCAATCCTTCCCTGGGTCTAGCACTTGCTGAGCAAGCTCTTGTCAAGTATGCAGAGAAGTTAGGATGACTTTGAGGCTGGGGGGACTTTTAGGCTTGGTATGCAACGAAATCATTGAAGAACATTCCCTGTTGCCAACTCTGCTGGTGCCAGTTTCCAAGTCCTGTTTCTCCCTAACCCTAGCAGCTTCACCCAGTCTATTCAGAGATTTTCCTATGAATGTAAAACTAAGTCAGCTGCCTAGATTACTATGGAAACCTAGGTTACAAACCAGACTCTCTTCAGGAACATGAACCTGGTTTCCCTAGGAACTTGGCCAAAGACTCATAGTGACCAGAAGGAAGAGGGCTTCCAGTGACTCATGTCCCCCTATCCTCTTATTGAGGCCTTCCAGGGCACTTCTACACGTGTAGGCATTTAGGCCAGACTGGAAAGGCTGAGGGGCGTGGGTACACATGCTTGGCACACATTCCAGCCTCTTAAGGGTTGGCTCAGCTGTAGGCCCAATGACACAAAATTTCTACTTCACCAGTAAAAAAGCTTTTGACATTGCTGGTCTCTGTTTTTACATTCCCTGGCCCACCAAGAGTATATCTCCACATACAGCCCAGAAGTAGCATGTTGTTTTTTGTTTTGTTAGGAAAGAATAAAGGCAGACTTAGAGTGAAGAGGAGGTACACCAAAGAGTCCATCCGAATGAGTCTTGAACTTGGATAAGCTTTTTCTTTAGCAGAACTTCTTGGTTGAAGGTGTAGATTGGCCCCTGTTCCTCTACCCTATTCTCCTTTTCCTCTATAGCACAGTTCTTCCAGCCATGATGACTCCCTAAAAAGACAAATGCTGTAACATACTTGAGATTCTCTCCATTCCATTCAAAGTCTGAGCAGTCAAAGCTGAAGAGATCTTGCTGAAAACAGTACCAGTGAAATAGGGTATTTTGGATTCTTCTCAAGCAACAGACTTTGGATTAGTGTGATTATTTCTCACCTTTAAAAAAAAAAAGTCCAGAACTTGGAGATGTCATCATAAGTTTCATTTCCACAGGTCCTTGCCTTCCCTTGGCTTTTTAAGTTTGGGTTGGCATGCCATTCCCGACCCTCCTCCTAAAACCTTGGGCCAAATGTCGGGCCCTCAGAATGAGTCTCAGCAGACTTCTGCAGAACCCTTTTGTAGCCTGGTCTCAGGCTTTGAGGAGGGCTGCATATCAGTGTGCATATTCTCTTTCACATGTTTTTTGAGGTGTAATAGGTATGATGAAGGTAGGGATAGGGAATGTAAAAGAAAGTACTGCCCTCCCCTGAAACAATTTGGTAACTGACAAAGGTAGAGGAAGATTCTGTTTGATGAATCTTTTCTCCCACTTATCCAAGTTGAAATGCCTGTGTGACTGATTTTTATTACTTGGTGATGCACAATCATACTCTTACCAGTGCCATTAAGCATCATCCTGACGTGTCTTAAAGTGTGAGTTCCTCCGACTAACCTCAGAGTAAAGCCTTTGCACCGAGTCTCAGGAATCTATTTAGGACAACAGACATAGCCTCTAAGCTAAGCTGGTCCAGGCTCCAGAGTTTGGGGGATAGGATTATAGGCAATCTTTTTTCAGATGAGGCCAAAAGATGGCTTTGGGATCTCAGAACAGGAAGGAAGTCTTGGCTTGGTCAAGAAGAACTTCTTATACAGGATATATCTTAGTAATAGAACACAATTGAGCCAGTGGCAACAATCCACTAGCCATAGTTGGCCCTGACTACTTCATGATGGCAGTGGCTCCATCCCTAGAGGCATCTAGTCCAGCTGTGGGTGTTATCACAGTGCAGAGCTGGTGATATTTCCTTTAAAGATGGTGGCCAGAAAGTTGTTTTTAAAACATAAATAAGCAATACCAAGCAAGTCTCAGGTTTTACCTAAGAGTAAAGTAAAAACTATTTTCAGTTATCAGGGCCTACTTAGCTCTAGCCTACCCCAGAAAAATAAGCAGTCAAAGCCTTGGGTCAGAGCTAGGCTAAAGAAACTGCCATCCTTGGGGTATTGGAGTGAAGCTGTCATCTTGCCATATGCCATGCTTGATTACCAGCTAATGGAAGTCAGCAGACTGAGGAGATGAACATCTAGAACCATGTGCTGGTCTTTAGTGTGTTAAATAGTAATGTTTGACAGGCTTTTGCCTTGTGCCAACAAGGATCAGCCTCACCTAGGTGGTGAATGGGGCACCCGAGAATGAATAGGATATGCTTTACTATCCTTCTGCTTACTCACCTTACCTCCCGGGGCCAAGCACTCACTCTGTGTGGTTCCTGGGCCACAGACCTAAGCTTTAGAGCCATGCATGAGTGGCGGTTCACCTCGTTGGGATTGGTGATGCCACCTCTCCAGGATAACACAGATAGTGTAGTAATAACCTCCCCTGAGTCTCCGCCTAGCAACATCTCATGTACTTGCTTATTATTGTGCGTCTTTTACTATAGGGAAAGGTTATGTGAATACTGTACAGGGGTTAATAAAAAAATACATATGCTCTCTTTGAAGAACGCGCAAATGCAGGGCCCGCTGGGGCTGGATCAAGACTGTGTGGCTGCAGCAAACAGCCTGTGTGGGCCAAGGTGAGGTCTTCACGAGTGGTGGCTGCTGATGAGGCCTCGCAGCTGCTTGGCCACAGTGTCAATCAATTTCTGCTTGTCTCGTTCATTTTTCCGAAACTGTGCAAACATGTTGTTCTTGCGGCTAGTATCCTTCATCCTACACAGAGAAGAAAAGAAAGAGGGCAAAGTGATTGAGGAGATATGGGAAGAGCTTGTAGGAGATGGGATTCTGTGACACATCTTAACCCTTATCCAGAGTGGGAGAATCTAGAATATTTCCATCATCAGGCTTGAACTTACCTATGTCTGGGAAGCTGTCCATCTGGTACCTAAAGCTCTCCCAACCTCACCTATAGTTGGAACTTTGTTAAGAGCCAGCTTTGGAGGCACCAACCTACTTTTTTCACATTGCATTTATTTATTATTTTTTTTATTACCATAGTTATTAATACATCTCAATTGTAAAAATTAATAAGTTTCATTGTGGCATTTCATACACACATATATCAGGCTTTGATGATATCCCCCTTTTTCTACCCTTCCCTTCTATCCTGATCCCATTTCTAGACCCTAATATTCAGAGGGGCCAATCTTCTTATCCTTCATACCTAACCCACCAATTCATTGCCTTCTCTCCCCAGGTGTGCACCTCTTTCAGGAGTCTGAGATGCTACAGCTCTGCTGGTCAACAGGCTCTTACCAAATGTCTAGGGTCTATTCATTACCTCATGAGTAGGCTGTGACCTTAGAGATGTATATGGAAGATTAAAAAAAAAGACCTTTGAAAACTAGCAATTTCAAGAGATGATGAATAACTGAAAGTCACTGTGTATATCCAAATCTCACTCTATCTGGTTCCATCTCCCATTCCTAATGAAACTAAGGGCTTGGTCTGTCTTTTCTCTTTCTCAGGGTAAGGGCTGAGAGGCAGTAAGGTGGCTACAAGGGTAAGGTGCTGAGGAAAATAGGAACCAAAGGCAAGACTACCATCTTCTCACCTGATAAACCAGAGCTTTAAGCAAGAGAAGTCCCTGAGTTCTTAATGGTTCTCTATATCCTCAGATCACCGAGCTTGTCACTGCTAAAACTCCACACATGATATATTCCTAGAGCACAAATAATGAGCAGCTGTGGCCAATGATTCTGTCCAATTGAGAGCCCTAACTGGGAAGTACAGGTAAAGAAAGTCAAGATTAGACTGAGATTTTCACAGAACCTCAAAGTCTGACCATGCCATTGTGACAGAATCTAGAACCCGCTATTCCCTAGAGAGGGCCTATAACCCCTGTCATGTATTGGTGATGGTTAACTCTGGTCCCAGCCTGTATACACCAGAACCCCTACAGCTCATAGCTAGCTCTAGTGTTAGAGAATTTAAAAGAGTATGTGGACCAATTTCTCCCTGATGGCCCCCACCACCATTCTCTAGGAGCTGAGCCAGTTCTCTGGGCTGCATGGGGTCAGGCTTGAAGAGAGAAGGAAGGAAACCCAGCATTGGGGTGTAAATTATGCACTGGGTATACTTGTGAGGGGCCTTTGGCCAATCCTGGGCCTTTTTCTACTGTGGGCTGACTATTGCAGAAGGGCAGATTAGAGGTCAACATGTCAAATGGGCAGAGATTTCACAAGGACACTTATATCTGGTATATGTGACATATATCAGATATATGAAGTGTGTGTGTGTGTGTGTGTGTGTGTGTGTGTGTGTATTCATTCTATTCCATAAGGGTCTTATATGTGGCAAGAGACAACCATGGTTGTATGACTCTGGCTGACAGTAGCAGCCAAAACTGATTGAGACTCTTCTCCCTTGTCTAAGTAACTCCTTCAGGCTGGAATTACTCATCAAACAAACTGGGAACCACCACCCAAATGTGGGGGCCTGTGCTTGGAGGGGAGTAAGGAGGAGAAGCCTTGCTTGAAAAGAAAGCACAAGGGTTCTCATGGCTCTGAGGATTCCTGGATCTGGTCCCTTACACACTAGGTGCAGTTATGTTTCTGGAACTGGCCTGAGTTTAGATTATGCCAGAGAAGAATCCCTTTCCTCTGCTGGATATGCTATAAATATAAACAATAATAACCCCAAACAAACAAACAAAAATGAAAACCACTTTCTATATTCATAGGACATTTAGTTCAACCTCTATGTGATCATGAACTTCCTGGCTCCTGAGGCAGAGCAAGCAGCCACAGAGAGGTTTCGGCTATATGCAAGAGAAAATGAAGAGGGCAGTTTCTGACCCCTGGGGCTAGGATTTCTTGGCTATTAAAGTTGGAATAAGGACTAAAGATAACATGAGTGTCCTGAGGGCTGATGGTAGCAGGCTGGTGTGTAACCAGGAATGTTCCAAAACAAAAGCGATCCTCCCGCCTCCTCTCCATTTGGCAAGCCCGGGATCCTGTTCTACTTTAGCTATGAACATCTCTCAATGACACAGAGGCCTCTTATTTTTCCTGAATGTCTTCAGCAGGTATTTGGGTGTTCCTATGTCTCACCTTGTTAAGAAGGGCCAGACTGGAAAGGAGAGATTGCTAAGCTTGATGGTACAGCTGGCTGTGGGCAGGCAGGGGTGGGTCAGGTAAAGGGGGTGGTTTCTATGAGGCTGGAAGATGTGGATTTTGGTAATCTTGATGGCCTTTGCCTGTTGTGTTTGGAAGGAAGTTTTGAAATCCTGCTGATTGCTAGGGCTAAGCACATAGCTTCATTACTGTCATGGCCTCCAGACTGGCAAAGAAGGGTATTTTAGCCTACTGTTAATCCATGGAAAGTAGGTGAGCCAGTACTTTCTGGTTCTAGAGATTCTCAAAAACAGAGGAGTAAAGGATTCCCAAGAGAAGTAACTGACTGAAGGGAATCTCAGAATCTATCTGGATACATAATGGATATGACAATGTCAGAACAAGCTCAAAGGTCAAAATCTTTCCCCATTTTATCTAGGCAGTGAGGACTCTGGGATTAGGCCTCTTCTGTAATAAGGCTCCTCTATGGGAGACATAGGTTTCAGATCTTCAAGCCATGGGCCTCACCACCAGGAGGTGGGGGAGACTGTAGGAGCTCTCCTCTGCCAGGACTGAATTTCAGGCCCTGCATTAGCAAAAATTGAATGTGCCAGGGAGCTGAGTGGGAACAATCCTTTGGCTGGTACTGATGGGGAAAAATCCCTGTCACCACTCCCAACCCCAAAGGAATTAGTAAGCCAAGGGTCACTTAAGGATCAAGGACAGAGGAGGCATCCAGCCAGTTGGCACCAGGCTGGTTTAGTAGATTAGTATGTCAGGGTGGGGACAACTCACAGGGTAGGGATTTTAGTGTAGTCATTAGTGTCAATGAGGAAACCAGAAGGACTTGCCTCAAAGTGATGGAAAAGGCCCAAGTGAATAATATACTTACTCTCTAGATATCCTAGGGAGGAAGGTCATTGGGAGAGAGAACCATGGGAAACAAAGTTAAAATGGAAACATCAGTCCCTGACATGGTGTCAGTCTCTTGGCTCCAAAAACATAGCTGTGCTTCCTGCTCTTGCTTACCTTCTATCTTCCCCTTCTCACCCTCTCCATAACACACAGTGAGATACAACTTCACTTCGCCAGCCTAAGGCTCTACTCTGACTCCCTAGATTCTGGCCCTTGCTTTGCTGGGACTGGAGTCATGCTAGGCTAGCCAGATATGGAGACTTTTCACACTGCCTAGATGCAGGGCACTCTTCTGACTAGTCATTCCAGTTTCAAGAGAAAGCTGCCCTTGTACATGGTTGTTGGTCTCTGGCTTGTCAGCTGTCAACTAGGTTAGCAAAAACCAGAGCCAGGCTGCAATGCATAGAAGAGCCCAGTTTCTGGGTGACACACTGGTTAGCCCTGAGATGTTTTGAAGTTGGCTAACCCAATTCCAAAGGTGATACCTATGCTTCAGGGAGGCTACAGCTCTATGGAAGAGCAACCTGTGCCAGCTAGTAACTGCCTAGTAGAAGAATTAGGCACCTTCTTGGACACAGATTTCTTGGGACAGTCAGCACAATAAAGCTTTATCTGGCAGGAGGCAGGAGTTGGGGACAGAGAAAGGTGTCAATAATTCCCAGGGCTTCTCTGCTAGGTACCAGATAAGCCACTTATTCTGTGGGGCTGCTCCATGCATATCATACCCAGACTGGGATCAGCCTCACTTCTCTCACCAGGCTGGTCAGAGGCCCTTCTTAACTCTAGTTCATGATACTTTGCCTCATTAGTCTATAAGGTAATGTCAGAGTCTGATTCTGACCTGTACTTGGCCTAGCTTATTAGAGTTCAACAATTAAGAGGCTACTAGTCTGACAAATACAATGATTGAGACAGTTGATAGCATCTACAGTAATGTCAAGAACAGGGATGTATTTTAAGGTACTGGCAATAGGAAAATTACCTTCTATACCAACCCCTACCTCAGTACCCCATCCCCAGCATAAACCACTGGGCTGGATACTTACTTCTCAAGCAGGGTCAGAGCTGTTACTGGATTTACCCGGAGGTATTTGCAGTTGGGCTGACCATAGTCAGCAAGGTATGTTGACCAATCCCACTGGATGAAGAGATCCAAAAGCTGTAAAATATTCAAATACATATAGCAGGGATTAATCAAACAGACAAATCAGGATCCCAGAAATCCCAACATACTTTGCTACAAGTTAACAGATCTGAAAATAAAAATAAAATTCTACCGAGAGAATGAATGGTTCAGACCATAGTACAACTAAGAAAATAAATGAGTTAACATAAGAAGACAGTAATCTCAGGGGCTGGGGTTCTGGCTCAGTGGTAGAGCACTTGCTAGCACGTGTGAAGCCCTGGGTTCGATCCTCAGCACCATATTAAAAAAATAATAATAATGAAGGTATTGTGTCCAACTGCAACTAAAAAATAAATATTAAAAAAAAAGAAGAGAGTAATCTCTTCCATGAGCACAGTAACAGGGCTAAGACCATAGCAGTTAGTTTTCAGAGGCAGGCCTGTGAAGAAACTAACAATGGACTGGCACAACATACCAGATTCATAATAATCACTCATGTATTAATTTACTAAACACTTATCAAATGACTTCCACATCCCAAACACCAATCTAGGAGCTCAGCATTCAACAATGAACAAATAAAGGTGAATGTAGTTCACTGCCAAATTATAATTTTCAACATCAGCTAATTTAATATTGATACTATTCATATTACAATTTTGTAAACTGACCCAATATCCTTTATAGCCTTTTTGTTGTTGCTGTTTTCTTGCATGATGTGTTTTAGTTGTCAAATCTCTCCTTTTTTGCAATACTGGGGACTGAATCAGGGGGAATCTACCATGGAGCTATACCCCCAACCATTTTCAGTTTATTTTGAGACAGAGTTTCACTAAGGATGGCCTTGAACTTGTGATCCTTCTGCTTCAGCCTCCTGAATAGCCGTTTTTTTTTTTTTTTTTTAGGAATAAGCTACTGCAACACATGGAGAGTTGTCATGTCTCTGTAGTCTCCTTTAATCTGGAATATTTCCACAGCCCTTCTTTTTCTTATAAGATATTGACATTTTTAAAGAATAGAGTCTCCCTCACCCCCATTTCTTCCCTCAGTCTGTTTTTTATCTGATACAAGATATGCATTCCTGACCAGAATATTACATAAGTGGATATCACATCTGGAGACATACAATGTTCATTTGTTCCATACTGATATTAATTTTGATCACCTGATCAAGATGATGTCTGATGTCTTCACTGTCTAGTTATCATGTTTTCCTTTGTAAATAGTAAGCAATCAAGGAGACTACTGAAGACCATGCAAATACACTGCTCCATATGAAAATTTCCCTGTATATTTAACATATGATGAGGATTCCTTTCTGATTCAGTCTTTTCCATGTTGGCATCAAACTTATCAACTTATATTGGTATGGACTCATGGTTTCCCCCTTTTTCCCCCTAGTGGCTTAAATTCACTATTATGCCTATTGTTTTCACACTCAAATTGTTTCAGATTAGGCAAATGGGAATTCCTTCAAGCTGGGGCAAGTGTTTCTCTGAATGTCCCCATGATTTTTTTGAGCATAGACAGGTATAAAAAGAACTTGCAGGCTCATCTTGCATCTATGCTGCCCCAGCTCTGCAACCAGTCATTTCTCTGAGAAGATTCTTCTGGAAGGAATGTTAGTGGAGATCAAGATTTGGGTGCCAGGTATTGTCATTGCTTCTGGAGTGTTTGTTCACTGCTATTGGGGGGTCAATCTGTGGGGAGCTAAACCCTTTCAGCAGATAGAGTTAGGAATAACATATGTGTAAATACACACACACACACACACACACACACATTTTAGAAGTGTGTGTGAAGCCAATACCTGCAGTTCTAACTCATTCTCATAGGGTTCTATTTGTCTTCTCCTGTGAGAGCCCTGGGATTCAACATTATCATCTCATTTACTCAAACTTATAATACATCTAAAATGGTTTCACGTTTGCACATACCACTAAAAAATAAAACAAAAACAATGCTACTACAAAACAATCTCAAGATTTGTTCATAATTTTCCTTTCCAAATGAAGACTAAGTGTCTATCATCAAATACCATGTTTATAAATCTGCTTGGATTAATTTTCTTCTGACCACTGTTCAGTGTAGTTATGGTATTCATCAAAATACAATTGTGCTCCTTTTTTAAAATTTGCTTTTAGTTTTAGGTTCTTCCCACCCATCCTTGTTAATTGTTTTAATATGTGGGCATTAACATGCTTACAAAAGTCAAAACTATACAAAAAGGTTAACTCTAAGAAGTGTCACTCCTTCCCTATGGTACCCCAATCCCTCCTGGGCCACAAGGGTAAGCAATTCCATTGTTTTTAGGTCTGTTATTCTGATGTCCCTACTTGGAAAGATACAGCAGACATGCATGCTTTCTCATCTCCCTTTTTTTCTTTTATAAAAAGTTACATGCTATGCACATACATCTATATTCACATCAAAGCATTTTATTTCTTGAAATGATTGAATGTGGTGGATGGAGAAGAAGAAAGGAGAGGGTCAGAGGTGGGAGACATAAATTAAGATCACTATTCCTCAAACTTTGTTATTGAGCTTCACTTTCAAAATTGTTGCCATATCTCATGCTTCATGTGTTAATATTTATTTAGTAATTTTTTTGTATTGATTCATTTTAATTTATAAGAAAATTTTAAAAGAAAACTTTGTAATACCAACATAATCAGGAAGCCACATTATCTGCCATTAATAGAAGACAATGCAGACACTAGAACCACAGTGAGACATTCTCCCTGTCATCAGAAGATTAAAAGGGAAAACTTTCTCAAGTGATTTAGTGTCTAATGGCATATCTGGTACTATCTAAACCTATTTGAGTATCATTTTATGGCCTTCTGTGCCTCTAATATTCCATACAACATATATTATAGGATTAGTTTGTGATTTCAGAGTTAAGTGATGATTTTGTGCATAGAACAGAGTTAAGTGGCTTGTGTACAGAAAAGCATCAGTTTCAACAGAGAGGATCAGTGCACACATGGGTCCTGTGTCTTGGATGCCAGGATGTTTCATAACTAAATGTATGTTTGAGCTGGTGAGGCCTGATGAGGCCACATGGACCAGACAACTTGCTGAGACAACCATAGAGAGTTCTTGAAGGCAAAATAAGCTAGTCCCTATATTCTCATTCTTCTCATGACTATGTTTCCTCATATGAGGGGATACCTCATACCTAAAACATAATAGCTTGTATCAGATTTTCTTTAAAAATGATGTAAAAACCATTGAATTTAGCTAATAATTAAAATTAAAAGCATCTAATATGTACAAAGAACTGAGCTAGGCCTTTCAAGCAATATTAAAATAAAATGTCTTCTATCACACTGGAGAATAAAAGAAAACCATGAATGAATAACTGTAATCCAAACCAAATTAGCTATTAAATGACATACTGATTGTTTCTCTTTCTAAACCATCAAGATGAAATATGAGAATATGATCAGAAATATGAGCTATGTTTAATGCATCAAATCAGCGAATACATGACGTCTGCATATCTTATCACTGGTGATATTAATCTTGATCACCTGGTTCAGGTGGGGTAGCTGATGGGTTTCTCTACGGTAAAGTAACTATTTTCCCCTTTGTAATTAATACACTTCTTGGGGGGAGGTATTTGAGATGATGCAAAAATCTTTTTTCTCCTCAAACTTTTGTCTATCAATTTTAACATCTATTAGTGGGTCCTGCCTACAATAATAGTTACTGTGGTTTTGACCAAGGTATTCGCTATCTCCCTTACTTCTTCTGTAGTTCTTATTTCAAATTCTTTAGCATTGCTCCTTCTCCTACATTTATTTGTTTACCCATCCATCAATTTTTTTCAGTATAACCTAGATATTTATTTTATTTGTGGGTTATAATTTAACACAATTATTATTTGCTGTTCAAGTTGTTCCCATTTTGGCAAGATGGAACTTCTTAAGGTTGGGTCTTCCTTGTATTTTTTATCTGTTTCTAATCCTCTCATAAATAGTTACTTCCTTTTTGCTACTACAAGATGTTCTAAGCTCATCATGCATCTATTCCTGTCACAGACCTGGAATCAGTCACTTCTTCAAGATGCCCTGGTTCTTTCCATTGAAGAATGGTATTTAGAAACCAAGGTCTTAACACGTATCATGCTCATTTTTACTAGGATAATATTGTATCCAGGCTCTCTCAATGGAAAGATCTAAGGAAAATATGTGTATATATACTAACTTGTATATACATCTATTTATTTCTGGAACTCTCTGTGTGTGTGTGTGTGTGTGTGTGTGTGTAAATTATGAGTTCCTATCAATGTCTCCAATTCCAATTCATTCTAGTCTTTCCGTCTCTGACAGTGAGAAAGTTGGTTGTCATCTAAAATGCAGTTGCCTTATTTATTCAGTCCTAGTTTAAAGTGGTTTCAGAGTTGCTAACCCAGTCCTCGGTGAGAAACACATTTATTAACTAGAGTCCAGCATTTGTATACAGTTTTTTTTTTTTGTCTTTGTCCTTACAGATTACAGTCAAAATACTGGTTCTGAAAGTTACCTCAGTTAGTTTTTTCTACCTCACTCTTCCATTTGATTAGACTGTTCTTTTTAATTTAGATAGGTTCATTTTTTTTACTGCTTCTGTTCCATTTTGGATTCCCCCTACAACCTGGATAATTTTAATTATTTATTTTGGGGGTATGTGAAACAATACTACAGTTCTAAGAGTTAAAGTTCTATAAAATAGTATGCTGAGAGAAGTATCACTCACTCTCTCTTTATCCTCACTAATCTGATCCTATTCTCCTTATTTCTTTCTACATTTTCCCACTCATCCCTTGCAGGTAACCAATCTAGTTGTTTCTTGTTTATCTTTTTTTTTAATTTCCTTCACACAAATGAGCAGATACCTGTGAATTTTTTTATATCTTCCTCTCTCACTTGAAAGATAGCGTACCATAGCTACTCGTTTGCACCTCACTTTGTTTTTCTCATATATCAGTATATCCTAGAACTCACTCCTAGAAGCTCATTCTTCACTAATGCTCATATTCTTGATTT